CGCCAGCCTTGCCAGCTACATCGTCGTAACCACCTGCCTCGTCGTAACCGCCTGCATCGTCGTAACCGCCCAGCTCTCCTGCGTAACGACCGTCGTAATCGCCGTACGCTCTGTCGTACGCCTCGCCCGGGTTCCACTCACCTTCTCTCTCTGCGCCACTCAGAGAGTCAGGATACTTGCTGCTAAGATAGAGAGTTATGAGATGCTCTAACTTGCCTATGGAATCATTCGATCCGCTAAAGAAGTCGTACTTCTGCAGGGAATCGGCTCCTGGGTCGTTCGTGTACTTACCAGTCTCCTGAAGATAAGAACAGAGATAAGTGCTTAGTATCTGCAGATGACGTCAACGTTGCACAGTGAGGCAAGTGTCACGCCGAACAAATGCTTTACAAAGATGACTGAACATGTCTATTGACGTACTGTAGAATTCTGCATCATAGCCTATGCAGGGATAAAATGTACAAAGCGACATGTGAGACACAACTACATCATTGCTGAAGTACGTTAAATAATAGTTACAATATTATTCTAAAATGTAACCATCACAATTGCCATGTGTAACGGGCACTACACAGACCTAATATAATAAAAAAGCCCGTTAATATTTAACGCGTGCTTGACACTTAATGCTTTTATCAGAAGTGTATAGCAATGTTCTTCCAAAGAGCCAGTAAAACAGTATGGGAGATATGTGACGAAAACATTACGTTGATTAATTTGCTTTTCTTAGAAAATTACTTATGCGTAGACCTACAAGTCAGTGAACAGTAAGTGCTCAATTTCAGTTGGTGATCAATCGCTATACAAAATTGCCATTTCGCTCAGCTCTTCAACACATTAAGATTAGTAAAATGACTTCAAATGCACTCAGAGAAATGCATTAGATATACAGACCTACCAATTACTGACTATGTTAGTGTTACTGATCACGTAACGAACTAGAAAGGGCAGTTGTCGCCAACTACATGTATCCCCAGTGTTCTCCCCAAGATGTGTAAGTATACGAAGTTTGGTCGCGCTAGGTCAATTAGGGGCCGAGTTATAGAGCGGAAGGGAAATATGATGAAGGTCAAGGTCAAGGTCAAGGTCAAGGTCAATGTCAAATAAAGGTTGCAGTGACCTGGTTTCGGTACGCGACACACCTTCTCCCCAAGATGTGTAAGTATACCAAGTTTGGTCGCGCTAGGTCAATTACGGGCCGAGTTATAGAACGGAAGGGAAATATGATCAAGGTCAAGGTAAAATAAAAGCCGCAGTGACCTGGTTTTGGTACGCGACACACATTCTCCCCAAGATGTGTAAGTATAGCAAGTTTGGTAGCGCTAGGTCAATTAGGCGCCGAGTTATAGAGTGGAAGGGAAATATGATGAAGGTCAAGGTCAAGGTTGCAGTGACCTGGTTTCGGTACACGACACACCTTCTCCCCAAGATGTGTAAGTATATCAAGTTTGGTCGCGCTAGGTCAATTAGGGGCCAAGTTATAGAGTGGAAGGGAAATATGATGAAGGTCAAGGTCAAGGTTGCAGTGACCTGGTTTTTGTACGAGACACACCTTCTCCACAAGATGTGTAAGTATACGAAGTTTGGTAGCGCTAGGTCAATTAGGCGCCGAGTTATAGAGTGGAAGGGAAATATGATTAAGGTCAAGGTAAAGGTCAAATTAAGGTCGTAGTGACGTGGTTTTGGTACGTGACGCACCTTATCCCTAAGATGTGTATGTATACCAAGTTTGGTAGCGCTAGGTCAATTAGGCGCCGAGTTATAGAGTGGAAGGGAAATATGATTAAGGTCAAGGTAAAGGTCAAATTAAGGTCGTAGTGACGTGGTTTTGGTACGC